GATTTTAAAAATGTATACAACTATCTACAAGATGGTCTTGCTTTGTGCTCTAATTGTTGGCCTTATTACCTATAAAACAGCAAAGTGAAACCTTCACAGCTGATGGAAGGGTTTGGATTGTAAGCAGGTAGTTCTGTAAGTACGAAGGCTGGTTAGCACAGCCCCCACAGTTAGACCCACGGGGTTCAGATGCTTACTGGACAATTGTGTAGGAGAGCGCAGGGCGCAGATCTTCCTCCTGTGAGGGGCTGGCAGCCCACAATCTGCAGCTTTCTATATTTGGAGAAGTAACAAAGACGGATGTCACCCTGGAAAGAATGAAGATTCCCAGACGGAAAGCACTGGCCATAGGCGAGCATGGTGAGAAAATGAACGGGCTAAACAGCTATTTTGGATAATTAAAGTTCTCCACTTTCTAAGAAGGGACTTTGTCTTTCTCCCTTATTCTCCAACAACTTTTCTCACTGGCATCCTTTGTATTCGGGCAGGGATGACAAGCCCTTTTGCTCTGTCTCTAAGTATTCCGGGAGTAACTTCTGCATTGGTTACCAATCACACTCAGCTAAATGAAGGCTCACTGTGTACTGAGCCCAACCGAGGGGGAGTCATTCATTCGCGTATTCACATCAAAACCATTTCCTTACCACCTCCTGTGTTGATGAAAACAAAGGTCCTAACTCGGGTGCTAAACGTTCTAACCAGGCAGCGTAAAGACCCAGGGTGGCTGGGGGTGTAGCTCAGCGGTAAAGAAAGTGCTTAGCATGCTGAAAGCCCTGGACGTGGCCCCCGGCACACAGAAACAAAAAGCAAAGCCACCCTAAGGAAGCACCAGGGATGAGACAGATCCTACCTTTCAGTTAATTTCTACTCGTTTATTCGGGGTGATATTTTACTCTTTGTAGTGAAGCCTCGTTTAGTGCCAACAATAGCTCTATGAGATAAAGACTGTTTACTGCACAGACGAGGAAATGCGAGGTTCAGAAAGGCCACCTGACTTGTCCAGTCACACAGGTGGTTTAGAAGTGACAGACTCGGGGATCGTGTCTGAGTCATCTGCGCAAAGCAGTTACGTGCCGCAGTGTGAGGCGGCTCTCCATCTTCCTCGGAGCTCGTTTATACAACAAATGTCCTACTATTTTTGTGCATTTCTTCCCCAGCTCCCTGCTAGTCTCTAAGCGGGCAATGCCGAAGCCGGTGGCCTCGGGGCAGTTGCACAGGCCCTGCAGCCTGCACTTGCCTGCTTTCTGCTGGATTGTTTCTCTGGAAAGTCTCAGGACGTCTGAGATGGTGCAGTGCACAGGGGTGCTTCTGTGGGAGCAGCAGGACGGGGTTAGGCGCAGGAGGGAGATGGAGGGAATGAGCAGGAGGAGGCTGGGGGAGCCCTTGGGTTGCAGCTGCCTGGGTAGCAGAGGGAGAGGGAAAGGCTTAGGGCCGCAGTGGGTTTCGGACTGCGCTGGGGTGCAGGGCATTCCCCAAGGCCAGTGGGGGCTCTCGGGGCCAGCTGCCCGTCAGAGGAGCCCCCCTCATGGAGCAAAGAGATCTCATCACGTCCCTGCTGTGCTCTGTCCTTGGCTGAAAGCTGCCTCTGAAAAACAATGTCCCCGCACCCATGCCAGGTCCCTGGTGGAGTCAGTGTGGCGGTGGGGTTGTCTTTTTCTTCCCCCCATTTTTTCCTTCTATTGTCATTTTTTCCATTTTCAGTTCCTTCCTTTTGGGCTTATCTATAATTAAGCCCTAAAGCCCCACAGTGCCTAAAAATATTAATATTTATTACTTTTCATTGAAAGTGCCCGCATGTATGTAGATGCTGATCAGATGCTGATAACAATTACAGCAATAGCAGCAACAATAGTGTTCACCATTCTCTAACCACTGACCAGCCCCATTATTTAAATACCGGATCACCAGCAGTGCCATGTTTCTGTTAATTTTTATAAGACAATATGAAACATAAAAAACATAATTTTATCAAAGTTACTCAGTAGTTTTTTCCATGAATGATATATTTTAAAACATTCAGCACCCAGCGCAGTGTTACAATCGGAACAGCAGTGGTCTCTTCCTGAATTTTTTTGCATTATCGTCTTTCTTTGAGAGGCACACTGTACACAGGCGTGCTGGCCTGTCCTGTGTGTCTGTGGTGGTGGGAGTTCACCCGAGCGCCTGCCCACTAAACGTACAGGTGAAGGCGGCGACCCTGGACGTCCTGCTTAGCATTTTTCTATAAAGTATTTGGTCTGTTCATCAAATCTAAATTGTACATGACCTTTTGAATCCTTTGTTTTGGAGAAGTAGCAAGTGAGACCCACAGTGTTTGGTCCAGAAGGCGTGTAAATATTTCATATTTTCCCCTTGCTTTTTGATTACAGGTTAACTGGTTGGATGTTGGTCAGCTCTGCCAACACCACCCACGGAATCGTTATAATCACTGACTACCTTGGGAAGTTTTTAGGTTTTGTTTCTTTCAAATGTTAACATTTCTATACTATGAATAGTTGACAGAAAGGTGATGTCTTTTTATCTTTCCATTCCATAACACAGATTTTTCTCTCTGATATGCTAACATTTCTCCCTTTTTCAGTGTTTTATTTTGCAGATATTTTGGTTCTTCCTTCTTGTTCAGTCTGAAATGTGTTGGTTTTTTATTGTAAAACAATGTCACTGAGTTCTGGAGAAATATAAAGATTATGTCTAATGTACTTACTATAAGAGTTTTTATAGCTTTTAGCACCATATTATAGATTTTCACAAATAACATTAATACAAATTAGTAAAAAATAAAAACAAACAAAAAACAACCCAGAACTTACTATTAGATTTCACTAATATATTGTATTATTATATACTATTATATTATATATAGTATTATTATATTCACTTATTATTAGATTTTGCTAGAAACAACATCAAAGGCAAACACAACATTCTAAATAAAAATGTATGTAAAAAGCCATTGAAATGAAACAAATACACAGATGCATGAGGGTGTCTCATGCAAATGAGAATCGACCTGCCGGCGTGATGCTTGGGGCAGTCCGTACGGGGACACACAGAGTGTCTGAGGGACGCTCGGGGAACACTGTGAGGTGGTTCATATAAGGCTCCTTCATGGTCCGGGTGCTGCACTAAACCGTTTACCTGCATCCATCCTCAGTGACTGAGCTCCTGCGATCAGCTCGTTCAGGGTGGAGACTGTATTCTCCCAACTTGTATTTTGAAGATGTGCTCCCCAGTACTTCAGAGAATGGCTGTGTTTGGAGACAGGGCCTTTACAGAGATAATTCAGTTAGGATGAGGTCCTTAGGGGAGGCCATAGCCCAAACGACTGCTGTATTTGTTAGAGGAAATTTGGACCCAGAGGGGAGATGATTGAAGAGTTACAGGGAGAAGGCGGCCGCCTACAGACCAAGGACAGAGGCCTTGGAAGAAATCAGCTCTGCCGTTTCCTTGGCGTGGGACTTCTGATCTCCAGAATTGTAGGGAAATCCATCTCTATTGCTTAAGCCAAACAGTCCCTGAAACTTTGTTATACGTACGTCCTTCCCCCATTTTGACACTGCTCTTTGCTTGGATTTCAATGAATCTGCATCAGCCAGTAAGTTTGTCTGCTCGTGTGTGCATCTGTCTTGCCTGAGTACTGGTCAGCAGACAGTGTGTCACGGTCACTGTGGTTCCCAGTGCTTGGCACAGTGCCAGGTTCACTGAGAGGTTCATGTCTGAGGAGCCAAAGAGAATTCTAGAAGCTGCCAAGATTATCTTTTGGATGGATCTATGAACCACTCATCTGAGTTTTGATCTCTTCCAATAGCTGCTGTATTAGCAGTTTATGATTGACTTCGAAATTTATGAAAATTGGTAAACTTTGCTTGTTTCTTCACAAAAACTAGGGCATTAACTGGGTCTTGGTGGCACCCTAGGAAGACCACAGTGTGGGATGTGAGTGGCTCCTTTTATAACTGGCTGTGTTCTGTTTGCCTGGTTACTCTTCATTAAAGAACTGGGGGAGTTCACTGTAATGGACTTGCCATAGTGGAAGTCAGTGAAAATCCCACCGTTTGGATAAAGTTTGCTGGGGGAACCTTTTCCTTAGAAGAGTCCCCACGGAAGGATGTGTCCATGACCAACTGGGTGTGTGCTGTGATAGGAAGTGGACTCCCTACCTCCCACGACGGCAGAAGGAGAAAGCCTAGAAAAAGACCCCAGACTTTTTAAAATTCAGACTTCAAAAAGAAGGAAAGAAACTGCAAGTGATTTCACATTTTGTCATCTATCTTTTAAGCAAGTTTCAAGGTGACCCTAAACTAAGGTCAAGTTGCAGTAATTAGTTGGATCATGCTATATATATATATATATATATATATTTTTTTTTTTTTTTTTTTTTCTTTTGAGACAAGGTCTCACTAAGCAGCTCAGGCTGGCCTTGAGCTCACTTTGTAGCCCAGGCTGCTCTCAAACTTGCAACCCTCTTACCTCGGTCTCCTGGGTGGTGAAATTACAGGCGTGTGCCCCACCACGCCCAGTTTGGGCTGTGCAATGTAATAACTCCTTAACCTTTGAGCAGGAGGTCAGTACAGCATTCACACTCAGGACACAGACTCTGAACTTGGACTCACCCCCCACCTCACATCTACCCAATGCTATGACAGTGCTGTCTGCCACACAGAGTGGTGTATTTTTCCAGAACATCAGTAAATTTTAGCCTTTCGAATTGACCTTATAATGGTGATCACGGTAGCTCTGAGTTTTATTTATTTTGAATAGCAATGATCCAGTTTGATGGATTTAATCTTGGCATATTTGTACATGGAAGCAATGCATTTTGATTGTTTCTACCTCCACCCCCAAGGATGATGATAGTTTTTAAAAATGCAAGCCACATCCTGCTTTAGGTTTTCTTTTCTTTTTTTCCCTTAGCATGCGTACTTTCTATTTTTGCTTAGTACACTCTTATTTTCCCTCATCCTGGCTTCTCTTCTCTGTTCATTCTTTTTCCAATGTAGAAAAATCGATGGGACCAACGAGGAAGAAGATAGCATAGAGCTGACCGAGGAAGGGAGGCCCGTGCTGACGTCCAGGCCCGACCCCCCGCTCTGCGACTGCCCCTGCTGCGGGGTCCCCAAGCGCTACATCATCGCCATCATGAGCGGGCTGGGCTTCTGCATTTCCTTCGGGATTCGGTGCAATCTTGGTGTCGCCATCGTGGAAATGGTCAACAACAGCACGGTGTATGTAGATGGGAAACCAGAAATTCAGGTCAGTGTCACCTAGGGCAGTGTCCCCCACGTGGAACTGTGAGATGTTTTGCTGCACGAGGCCACTGCAGTTCATTCACTGGGGTGGAAAAAAGGAAAACTGACCACCGTGAGCTGGACCCTGAGCTCGGCCATGGGGAGAGAAGGGTGGGCCCTTGTCCTCATGGAGGCAAACAGTAAATGATGACAGCTTAGGGCTCGCAGTGCTACCCGGGCTGTGAAGGACCCCTGGGCTCGCGAGGGGAGGGTCTGGCCCAGACTTTGATGCTGAGAGAGACAGAGAAGGCGCTTAGGAGCTGTGTGGCGATCATCTTACTTCACGGTACCACGAACGCCTCTGACAACGTGGTGATGATTTATGAATATGGTGTCAAAACTGTTTTCAATTCTTAACACAAAAATAAGGAGCCAGAAAAGAAGCCAAGTATTAAATTACGGATATTAAAGTATTTAAAAATCAAATTTTTAATATAGCAACCTGTAGGCTCTTTTTCTGTTTGTTTTTTGAGACAGTCCTGTTATGTAGTTCAGGTGAGCCTTGAACTCACTTTGTAGCCCAGGTTGACCTTGGAATTTGCAGCAGTCCTCCTGTCTCAGCCTCCTGAGTGCTGGGATTACAGGCGGGAGCCGCCACACCCAGGAACACATTGGTTTTTTAAATTAACATGTCGGATGATGAAATCTAGCCATGGATCTAAAAAGTGTAGGGCTGAAGATGTAGCTGTGGTAGGATGCTTATGATACTAGGAATGACTAAGTGTGATTACACAGTGACAGCGTCACAGGTACTGATAATCTACTGTCGCTTGGTGTCTACACTCATGGTTGCAGAAATTGCCAACTTCCAGCTAGCAGTTAGTCACCATAAAGACGCTGCCACCTCCCCGCTCCAGGTCACAGATCCACAGGAATCCATCACAGCCTGCAGGTTGAGAACTCCCAGGACGGAAGTAGCACACCGAGAGATGGAGGCAGCACAGGAAATAAGGGGCCTGGTGACACTGTGGGGCGTCACGGGTGGGCTTTAGGGAGGAGCAGAGCCGTGCTCAGCAGCATCGCTGCCCGGGGAGGGGCCAGGTTGGAGTGAGGAAAGAGAGGAGGCCGTTGTGGGTGTCAGCGAGTGCACTCTGAGTCATCAAAATGTTGACCTGCCGTGGTTGTTCTGACTTTGGGGAAGAGCCAGGAAGTCGTGAAGACGCTCAAGAAAGAGGATTCCAGAGCTGCTCGATGGCAAGAATGATCGGATGAGTGTGCTCACAGTAAGGGGAGCTATTTAGAGAGGGGTAAGGGCAATGGGTCTTTTACTGCAATGAATTTTTAAAATTGAAGCATTCATCGTGTATTTTGATCACTGTTTTATTTTATTGAATTGATGCATGCTCCGGAGTGACTCTTGTGAGAACACATCCATTTGCAAAGAAGCAAATGGAGCCCCCTCCATTGCTTGGGACCAAAGTCTCCTGAACTAGAGCCCAGGAGAGCATTGGTTTCAGGCTACATTTTGAAGAAGTATTGGTGGATCTGGAGCCTCTATTGCTCTGTGTGTGACTCTCCAGGATGGGACGTGGGACAGTGTTTCTGGCCTGACAGGATGGCACATCTGTTAGCATCACCTGGAATGGTGTCCTGCCAAGCACTGGCTTGGGAAAATTTGAAGCTGATCCATTAGAAAGAGGTCTTTAGTTGGCCTGAATGCTTTTTTGTTTTGGTTTTGTTTTGTTTTTAAACTGAGATTATTCTGCAGGGGAAAATAGCACCATGGAGACTGTTCTGATCAGGCTTTTTTTGATGCTGCAACTGAATCTGCCCTGAGCAGACACGCTGTCACTGTCAGGGGCTGAGATGGAGGTGGGGGAGCACATCACGCACCTTTAAAGTAAGGAGTGGTGTATATGAGCAGGTTGCAGATGTGTATCACACGCATTCTTTCAGCCTTTTGTGAGCATGGCCAGCTAATTAAACTTGTCTGGCCAGGCCGTGAGATGCTGTTTTGTATTTGTTTGTTGCCTGAGAAGATAGGCCAGGCCAATAGAGCCTGCTTTGAGGCACATAGAATGGCATTTTGATAAAGCCCAGGGATAACGCTAGTGTGTGCACTCGGGTTTCCATGGCTTTGCCCTCTGGAGTTTTAGGGTGCTGATTAAGGTCTAAAGAGTACTCACATGGTTCTCCCTGGCCTCCAGAAGAAGAGGTTGGTAGCACTGCGGAGGCACAACCTCAGTTTGTGGTTGGCTGTTTCTTTTTTGCCTAAGTAGAACCAAGTTTAGGTATGAACTGAGCAGTCTCCAAAGGACTCCGAATGGCTGGTGTTTCTGTTTGTTTTGTTTTATGGGAAAACTAGATAGTTAGAATCCTTTTTTTGGTGGTACTAGGATTGGATCCAAAGCTTTCTCACTGATCCAGCTCCTTGCCCAATCCTCTTCTTTTCATTTTTATTTTGAGACAGGCTTTTGCTGAGCTACTGAGATATCCAGGCTGGGCTTGAACTTTTGATCCTCCTGCCTCTGCCTCCCAGACTGCTAGGATCACATTTGTGTGCTGCCATGCCTGGCTTAGCACCCTCATTTTCAAAAGAGGGAGACAAGTAGGTACAAAGAGCCGGTCTCATGAACAATGTGTGGCATATGTTTCGCAGGGGTACAAAGGCTGATTTTAGCCTATATATGTGCAATCACTTTTAGATTAATAAGTTGAGTTAGAGTTGGGAGTGTCACTCAGTGACAGCATGTTTAGTGTGCATTAGGACCCGGGTTCAATCCCAGCACAAACAGCAAGAGAAAAGAAAGAAGGGAGGGAGGCAGGAAGGAAAAATGAGTCACAACACATGAAGCGTTGGGGCGTGGTGGTGCAGCCGCCATCCCAGCTACTCAGGAGGCCAGGGAGGGGTCACAAGTGGGGGTCCAGCCTGGGGAATTTAGTAGGACTTTGTCTCAAAAAAAAAAATGTTTGGGGATGTAGCTCAGTGGTAGAGTGCTAGCCTGGCATATGCAAGGTCCTGGGTTCAGTCTCCAGGATAACATTCAAAAAACAAGCAAGGAGCGCTTAGCGTCTGGCATACGGTAAGTAAACAAAATGATCGCAGGTTGGGATGCTTGTGATTCTTTCTCATCCCACTGAGGAAAGAATATCCAGAGTCCTTCTCGCGGGTCATCAGTCTTGTGGGGTGAAGAGAGTGGGCTTGGGGACTGGCTAGACCTGCCGCTGAGCGTGAGGCTGTGGACTGGCTGGCTCTGGGGCTCTGAGCAAGTTGCTTCCGGGTCCCAGAGCTGAATTTGTGAGACTTTGCCAGGCCAGGGATGGATTTACTTGACTCTGTTGCCATGGAATTTGCTTCAGTTAAAGGACTTCCTGCTGTGCAGCTGTTGAGCTAAATGTGTGTGTGTGTGTGTGTGTGTGAGAGAGAGAGAGAGAGAGAGAGAGAGAGAGAGAGACAGAGAGACAGAGAGACAGAAGACAGGAACTGGACTGTCCAGCAATGAAAAAAGCACTTTGCAGATCAAATGAGATGATTTCTGCTAAGCACCTGTACTGGGTCCCTAAGACTGCGGCTACCAATTACCACAAAGTGGATGGTTTAACAGCAGCAAAATGTGGCCCTTGCGGGAGTGGGGACAGCCACACCCAGCCTCTCCCCATGAGTCAGCGCCATTCACGACTGCAGGGGGAAGAGACCTAGGCCCCACGGGAGATGATCCCTGCCTGCAAACCATGTCATCTTCATTGTTTTCTTAGGTTGGGTTTTATTCTCTTTTGTTTTGTTTGATTGTGTTAAATCTGATGGCAGGAGCAGCTATTTGAAGGATAGCAAGACACATTATGGTGTTATTTTGGATTTACTGTTAGCTTATTTTGAAGTCCTTTACTGCATTCATTGTTTTGTTTTTATTGCTTCTATTCTATTCTGTTCTGTTCCCTTTTGACTATGCCTGAAGGTATCTGCAGCTGTTTTGAAGACCACAAAAGGCATTTTGGTAACTATTGCTGATTTCATAAGGTTTTTAAGTCCTGTTTAACTTATACTAGTTTCATTTTCCTTGGTTTTATCCTCTTTAAAATAGTAATAAAAGAAAGAATAAAAAAAAAAAACACAAGCAAAATTTATTTGGTCATGGTTGTGGAGACCGAAAGTCTGAACCTGAAGTGTTGGCTGGGCCTCCCTTCCTGTGCAGCCCCTAGCGGGAACCCTCCCTGGTCTCAGTCAGCTTCCAGACGCTCCCAAAGAGTCCATCTCTGCCTCCATCTTCACATGACCTCCTCCTGTCTGTGAGTCTTCTCTTCGGTCTCCAGATCTTGCCTGGAGACACTTGTTCCTAGATGACAGCTCAGATGATTAATCCAGGATAGCTCATTTCAGGATCTCTGGCTTTTTCATAACTGCACAGAACCATTCTCCAAAGAGGGCAGCATTTACATTTCGAGGGACTCGATGTGACTATCTTCCTTGTAGGAAGGAGGTTTTATTCTTTGATGATGATAGTTTGTGTTTCACCTGGGCAATTTAGCAGGGACCTTGTCTCAAAAAAAAAAAAAAAAAAAAAAAAAAAAAAAGGGCCCTGGGTTTAATCCCCAGTACCACCACCACCATGAAATAAATACGATAAGACAAAACCAGAACAGAAAAGAAAATGTATTAGCTTTCTTGCTGCTGGTGCAAAGCACCAGATCCCGGTCGTTTAAAGGAGGAGAGTTTTGTGAAAGCAGAAGCAACATGGGAGAAGGGCAGCTGCTTAACTCCCTGCCCAGGAAGCAGACAAGTGGGGAGATGCACTTCCTGTGTGCCCAGCACCCATCTCTGCAGGTCGGGCCCCTCCTCCTGCAGCACATGTAGCCATGAACTCACCGGTGGATCAGTCCCTGTGAGCGTGGGGTCTCGAGACCCAGTCACCTGCCAAACACATGAGACTTTGAGGGTGGTGTGGAATCTAGCTCTAAACCACAATAGAAAAAACATGCATGACTCGACAGCTGCACTGATACATTTTAAGATGTACAGTACCTTATTTTTGACTCCTAGGTATGTTGTACAGCTTGTCTCTAGAGCTTATTCATCTTGTTTTATAAAAACTTTCTGCCCACTGAATAACTCCCATGCCAACCACCAGTCCACTCTTTGATTCTACGAATGCACTATTTTACAGACCATGCATTATTTGTGTTTGCATGACTGGCTTGTTTTCCTTAGCATAACGTCCTCCAGGCTCATCTAAGTGCTGCATATTACAGAATTTCCTTTTTCTCTCAAGCTGACGAGGATTCCATTAAATGTGCATGTCACATTTTCTTTATCTATCAGTCAGTGGACATTCAGGTTGTGTCCTTATGTACTCATAGCAAATAATCAGTGAAAATGAGAGTAGGTATCTCCAAGATCCTGATTTCAGTTTCTCTGATTAATACCCAGAAGTTTGATCACTGAGTTATAGTTTTAGTTTTTTGAGGCTCTAGACAGCACCAGCACCTACGTTGCTCCCAGTAGTAATAAGAGTTCTGCTTTTCCACATTTTCCCCAGTGCGTGTTGCTGTTCCTTATTTCTTGGCCAAAGGCCGTCCTGACTGGTGTGAGGTACGGTCTCGTGTGGTTCTGACTGGCGTCTCCCTGACCGTTAGTGAGTGACCCGGGCCGTCTTCCCGCTAGCTGTTGGCGATTTGCATGTCTTCTTTGGAGAAATGTCTTTTCAAGTTGCTCACCCATCATGGTGATTTTAGGGGCTCAAATGATGAGGAGGGTTGGTGCCCAGCAGCACTAAGCGTCCGTTCTCTGTCAGAGGATGATAGAGGCACTGTCTCCTCTGACCGAAAGGTGTGCGATTGGCGACGAGCAGCTGGGTAAGGCAGAGAGAGTGTGTTTGTTACAATTGTTAGGGAAACAGCAACTTGGGCTGGTGGAGTAGCTTAGTGCCAGGGAAGTCGCCTCTTGTGTAGATGCTCCTGGGTTCGATTCCCAGCATCACTGGGGAAAACACTGTATAAGAATTGAGTGACTTCAGGTTTGGGTTCCTTTTATGCTATCATGAACTGATATCTGAGTGATGGAGTAAATAACCTCGTGGCCCTAGAACTTAATTTTTGTTTATCTCACAAGTTGTTTTATTTGTCTTCGTGCTCATCACCATTTGATTTATCATATTTTACGTATAGCTTTGTGCTTATCTCTCTCTTACTAGAAACTGAGGGACTTTGGTATCCTGAGTACGCAGAATGCCTTCCAGAAATATTTGTTGACAAAAGGGTGGGAAAGGGGGCCTCCTGGGGGTGCTTATGTGGGGTCAGCAGTGACGTGTGTGGCGAGCTGTTTTCTGACAAGCACAACCATGTCTGATTTCTTGTTTGCAGACAGCGCAGTTTAACTGGGATCCGGAGACAGTGGGCCTTATCCATGGATCTTTTTTCTGGGGTTATATTGTGACACAAATCCCAGGTGGCTTCATTTCAAACAAGTTTGCTGCCAACAGGTAAGGTAAATCGATGTGCTATGGGTCCCCCAAGTTACAGTGCGACTTGGTACCTTTATAAAATCTGCAGTTGATTCTCCATTTGGGGTGCAGAATGAAAAACAGGAGCAAGCCAGACAGTGCAGTGCAGCAGTGTTGATCCCAAATAATCTTTTTCTTCAGAGATGCTTTTGACTTAATTTTCTTCCCCAGAATCATTTATCTTACGATAATGCGGCTTAAAAAAAGCAACTAACTGAGTCAGGAGAAAGGGAACCTGACCCCTCCTTGGCTCACTGAGTTACCTCTGTTGAGTCACATCCCTTCCTCCCTGGGCCTCAGTTTCGTCATCTGTGAAGTGGGATGTTGGATCCGACTGTGCCTTGAATGGTGTCCTTGATCTGTGCTGATGTTAATAACACCTTCAGCCATCAATGTCCTGCCTCACACTTGTGCTCGCCTCTGTCTTGTGTGATGTGTCTGAAGCACTCTTCATTCTCTGTGGGAGGTGTTTTTATGAGCTATTTATATAAGTAGTGAGCTCTCTATTCTTAGGGGTATTCAAGTACGAGAGAATGGCCACTTGGGGGAGATGTTGTAGAACATATCGCGTACCGAAAAGGTACCTATTTCAGGTCCTTTCCAATGTATTTATTTTTCACATGACTTTACATAAATCTTTTCCATGAAGTATAAGGTACTTTGCATAGCAGTATTTTTTCAGACTCTGGAATACCTATTATTAATATAGTGATTTACCAATCAGCCATTTTTGAAAAAAGAGAAAAACAGAAGAGATTATAATAAAATAGAATAAAACAGAGTAGAAAATCTCTGAGTGTACCGCACGTAAGGGTAGCTATTGGATTTTGATGCTTGGTTTGCATGGATGGGGCAGCAATATATACATATTTTAAGGGTCATTGTCAAAAAATTTGAAAGCCACTAACCATAAACTCTAAATATGTATGACATGACTTTCTTTACCTATGTTCTTGTTTAAGTTGTCTTTTTTTAAAAGTTTTTTTTAAAACTTATTTGCTTATTTTATTTTTCTAAAATGTGATCAAATGTTCACTGCTCTGGCTCCATTTGTACTGCTTACACTTTTGCTTTCAAAACAAATTGCACATAATCCAGTGTCCCAGCATGTGAAAAGAGTTGATGTGTTTTTCTTTTTTCTTTTTTACTTTGAAGACAATAAAGTTAAATAGGAAAAAACAAAATGGAGTCAGTCAAAACAAAAGGATGGACATAGTACATGACTTAAAACCAAAATACAAGGTGATCAACAGTGGTTACCATAATGCCTCTTGTTATCTTCAAAAGAATTGCCCAATCATCAGGCACAATAAAATTGAACAAAACAGTACAGAACAAAACCAATAAAAACAAAACATTGGAGACTACGGGACTTCAAAAGAAGATAGTAGTCAAACCAGAATGGGCATCATAGTGAATCTAATTGTCTTCACAGTAGTTACCTGTGTCCTTAGACTTGGTACTATCATAGAAAACAGATTCGAATAAAATCAGTCAAAACAAGACAATGAGAGTAATATAGAGCTTCAAATTAAGTGAATAGGAAATCAAAAATGCTTACCATAGTGTATCCTGCTATCTTTGGAATAGCTGTCCATGCCATCAAGTCTAGTACAAGTAGACAAACTGGAACAGAATATAACCAAACTAAACAGAGTGATGAAAACAATATGGGCTTCAAATCATGACACAAGATTAACAGTGTCCTCCGCCTTCCCGTTTTAGACATCTCCTCCCCTTTCACTTTCACAGGGTGCGTTGTACAATTTGCATCCCACTAACTCCTTTAGTTTTTAGAATAGGGAGGCAACCCGCTACTCACCTAAGTGATTCTGAACCTTTTTATCCCTGAGCTTGGTCCAGGTTGTACCCATTTACCTACAAGGCCTGAAGGTTTTCCTGCCTTATAGCTGAGTAGTTCTCCGTTTTATAAAAGTGTTATGTCCTTCCTACCAGTCTGCAGCTGATGGGTGAGCTACCCCCACTTTTTTCTGGCTCCCTGTCACATAGAGCATTGTTTTCTCATCTTTGACTTTCAGTCCATAAACCCTCTTTCAGGTTAATTATATTTCCTATAAAGAACATCTTGATGGACCCTATCTCCTGATGCACCCTGCCCGTGTTTCTTTTTATTGGTGTATCGAGGCCATCTGTATTAGTGATTATGGCCAGCCTTCCCTGCCTCATCTCTGCCATGCTGTTTTTCAGCGGTTGGTTGTCTACTTTTCCCCTTCATTCCACTGTCTGCCCCATTCAGTGAGCCCCACTGTTGCTGTTCCTGAAACCATGGTCTTTTTTTCTCTGTCTCTAGAATGTTCTCCAGTATTTTTTGTAGGGTTGGCTAGGTGGTCATGAACTCCCCCAGTTCCTCTTTGTCATGGAAGCATCTTGTTTCTCCATTAATTCTGAGAGATAATTTTTCAGGGTATATCAGTCTAGGCTGGAGGTTATTTTCTTTCAGGGCTTGGAATACTTCACTCCAAGCTCTTCTTGATTTGATGGTTTGTGGCGAGAAGTCTGTCATGATTCTGATGGTTTTCCTTTATAGGTGACCTGTTTCTTTTTCTCTGATAGCTTTTAATATTCTATTCTTGTGTTGAATTTCTGGCATCTTGATTATTATATGTCTGGGTATAGATCTATTTTGGTTATAGCTGGCTAGAGTTCTGTATGCCTCATATATCTGAATATCATTTCCTTTTCCTATGCTTGGGAAGTTTTCTTTCATTATTTCTGTAAATAGCCTTTGTATTTCATTTGTGTTTACCTCTGCCTCTTCACTCACATTTTTTATTCTTGTTATAGATCCTCTTGTTATCTTCTAGCCTTTGTATTGTTATGTCCTCGTTCCTTGTTGCTTTTAAGAGATCTTTCCTTTTGCAATTGCAGTTGCAAACCTGTCTTCAAGGTTTGCTAGTCTATCTTTACTTTCTTTCAAGCAGTTTTGCCAGCTTCCAATGGAGTTTTTAATTTCTTGGTAATCTCTTTGAATCTGTTTCTTGTATTCTAAATTTAAAAAAATGTTTTTCATGAAGGTTTCCCTCCTTTTTCTAGGCTCCTCTATTCTTCCATCTGTGTCTTCTTTAGAGGTGCTTAGCCTTTCTTTCACTATGTTTCTTATGTATCTTTACTTGTAGTAGAATTTCTGTTTTCAGTTCTTTTATAGTTTCACCAAGTTGTTTCTTTTTGTCAGTTGCTGTTATTTCAGAAACTGCAGGTGTGCACCTCCCGATCTCTTCTGTGTTTACCTCTCCTGGACCAGTACTGCTTGGGTTGGAGGCTGGAGGCTGCCTTTTGCTTCTTTCTCTTGGCATGTTCCTGGTTTCTTCCAGACAAGTGGGTAGTGGGGTCCCTGGCACTTTATGTATTGGTTATAATTACTCTGAAGTGCGCTGGCTTGGGATTTCTGCTGTTTTCCCCAATCTGCTGGTGACTACTGGAGTATAAGCAGAGGCAGGACAGGCTGGCTCCTCCCTCCTGAGCTGGTTAACCACAGGGAGCCTTCACCAAGTTTGTGTGTGCAGGGCGGGTGGGCCGGGTTGGTTAGGAATAGCTTTAGGGAAATGTCGGCTTTGGCTATTGGATCATGCACAGGAGCAGGATTCAGTCCAAGCAACTTTCACCAGTCTGTTCTGTGCTAGGAGTGGCTGAATGGAACCACTGCAGTTCTGGTTCTAGGCTTATCCTGCCCGACTCCAAAATGGCGCCCAGCCAATCGTCCACTCCTGCGGGAGGACTGAGTCCCCCACACTCACCGCCAGGCAGTGCAGTTCTCCAGCCCGGGGCTTCCTTCCACCACCGCATCTTCCTGCTGATGCCTTCAGGCTTGCCAGCCACCTGCTTCACTGTGACTGAGCATCTCCGGACTCCAGCGGCACTGCTCACACAGTGGGACTGGCTTTGGTGAAAGCACCTCTGGCCACCGCCATCTGTTTCAGTTTTTCTTTTCTTTTATTCTCTCGGTGGACTTTGATTCTCACTTTAGTTTCTTCTTGGGTCAAGGGGACCCATTTCTTCCCTTCTTGTCTTCCCCATGATGCTGTATTCCAGCATCTGGGCTGTTTCTCTCAGAGAGGCTGCTTACTCTGCTGCTTACTGTTCCGCCATCTTGAGCAATTGTCTTGATGTTTTTCTTTTGAACCATTTAGACAAGATGTCAAGCCTTTATCTTGTACTCTGAATAAGTAATATGGAGACAACAATACGCAATGTATTAATTATTGTAACTCTCCTACTAACCTGTTTTGAAATTGTGTTATTGTTATTTTTGTTTCTTCTCTTTAAATATAAAAGAGTTGATGTGTCATCAACATGCAGGAGAAAGGTAGGGAATGTTGTTTGCTCTTTTTCCTGAAGATGCCCTGGGCTGAGCAGGGGGGAAAGGTGAGTGGTGCCAGCATGTCAGGGAATAGGATGCTCAGACAAGGATTTAATGTGACCTGTGCTTGGCTGGCCCGGATCGTATGATGCTTCTTGGATAATCAGTATCCCTTTATGGCAGACTGAGAGCCACAGGGGATGCAGGAGGCAAAACTCCAGAGATACAGAAATCAGAGTAGGAAGGGTCACTTGGAGGGGACCAGGCTCTCCATCGAGGTCACCTCAACCGGTTGTCCTGCAGCTTTTCAGGACATCATCCAGGCAGGACATCGCTGTGCTGCTGTACCTGTGTCAATAATTGGTGCAAGGCCTGGAGCTTGGGAATCAAAGAGCCCAGAAGTCCAGCTTGGGGCACATCAGACCCCCCAACACAGTGTCTTACTCAACAAATTTCTCTTCATTCTCATAAAGATCTTTGTTGACTCATTAGACTGGTTTTGATGTTTAAGTGACCACCTCATCTATCTGTGAGCTGCCCAGTAAACCGTGCTTTGGTCCCCTAGGGTCTTTGGAGCTGCCATCTTCTTAACATCCACTTTGAACATGCTGATTCCTTCTGCGGCCAGGGTGCATTACGGCTGTGTCATGGGCGTGAGGATTCTGCAAGGTCTCGTGGAGGTAGGAGACACTTTCTCGCAGTTTTCCATATTGCCAGAGCCAGCGTGGCTCTTTAGAAAATCCTACTTCTGAGGAAAACCCCTGTTTCACTGTTTTCCACTTTGTTCTGCCATCTCAGCCCTCTGGTGATGGCTGTTTTAATTAAATAGCACTGTTGAATATTTTAATTAAAGTGCCCTGTGTGATTTCACATTTAAAATATAATAAAGGACCTTTCATTCCATAAATATCTTAGACATAATCTAATCCAACCATCTGTATTTTAACAGAGATTGTAACTGAAGTCCCAAACTTTCAAGTCCCCATATCAAAGGCTCTTTCTTTTGGCGAAGGCAATTTAAATGCATTTATTAAAAATGTGTACACTTCTAAGCATGTGGTCTGATGTGAAGATTTAGTTTAGCTAGAAGAGGAAGCATGATGTGGAACCTGGAGGTAAATATTTTGGGCTTTGCAGACATACAATGTCTGCTGCAAGTACTCAGTGCTGCTGTTACGGTGCAAACGTAGCCATAGAACATACGCAAACACATAGGCCTGGCTGTGTTCTAATAAAAGCTTTTATATGTTGAAATTTGAATTTCATGTGATTTTTATGTGCTCTTGAAATAATACTTCATATTGACATTTCTTCAGATCACTTTAAAATGTAAAAACCTTCCAGACCGTAAAGCAGAGGGGTGTCTAACTGGATCATAGCCTGGCAACTCCTGGTGTAGAATAACTTTCCCCAGACTCGGGACGTTCGCCTCTAACTTTCAACATTTTGCTATTCCATGTACAACTTGTCTCACCGTTTGCTTCCTATGTTTCCCCTAGATCAGCTCCTTTAAGAAACAAAAATTAAAACCACTCTCACTGTAAACCATGGTGTTTCTGAAATCATGGATCTGATGTCCAAGTGGCACTTCTGTCTGAAGTGCATTAGAATATGTACCTAAGAATTATAACCCAGAGTGTGGAAATCCATCTCTAGCCCCACTGGAGTGACATATATGCTATGCTTTCTGCCATACTGGTGTGATGATGCAAACTCCTGACTTTAGTAGCTGTGGAGATGGACCCTGAGACCTGGCACTTACGGAATCTGAACCTCAGACCCCGGGTCTGCAAATGACACGAAGGGCAATGATGTGGAAGCCGCTGCCTCACCGGCATCCTTTAACAACATACAGTGTGAATGTGGAGTTCCTTCGGACTCCCCACCACACTTGCATTTGAGTATCTGTGCTGTCTGCATTCTAGTTAGTATCTATGCTATGCATCCTCATAGCTGGATTATGCTATTTCGTGTCTGTTTTAGTCGGTTTGGGCTTCCTTAAAAGAATGCCACAAACAACAGAAATTTAATTCTCATGATTCTAGAGGCTGGGAGCTCTAAGATCCAGGTGCTGGTGGATCCAGAGGTGGCGAAGGACAGTGACTTAGCCCCTAGACAGTCACCTTTTGTGACTCAGCTGGCAGAAAGGAGGGTGCTCCCGGGGCTCTTGTAAAAGGGTCCTGACCCTGTTCATGAGGAGGACTCTGCTCTCACTGCTCCCCTCCCAAGGCCCTCTTCCAGTGCCGTCACCCCAGGGGCTAGGTTTAAACAGGTGGATTTTGGGGGACACAGACTGTCTGCTGTAGCAGAGTGTGTAGGGATTGTTATGTTGCAGCTTGGGTGAAGGAGACGCAGCTACATTTTAAACACAAAGAGAAACTGGAGATAAATTTAATAATGGATCTTGCGTTCCTCTGCCAGGGTGTGACCTACCCAGCCTGCCATGGGATGTGGAGTAAGTGGGCGCCACCCTTAGAGAGGAGCCGCCTGGTCACCACCTCGTTTTGTGGTAAGTCACAGAGACTCCTGACTGCCCACCCTGCCCCAGCGCTTGTTCTAAAGGGATATGAGACGTGTTCTCTTCTTCTGGGACTGGCTGGCAGTGACCAGGACGGTCCAGTCATTCAATTCTGGTCATTGCGGTAGCTGAGCCAGATCGTTCTGCTTTGTTGGAATTCCGATTCTGCACCCAGGAGCCAAAGCCCTTTTCCTTGCAGAGCTGGTCTTGTGAAATGTCCTGAGAATTCCCGTTTCACTGTCTTCTTCCTGTGGGTCGGTCTATCCTCAACTCGATGCCTAATGCAGCTTTTATTATTTTTTGTTTTATAAAATGATTTATTCTAAATCTTTCTCTTTAAGCCTCCTTAGCATCTCCTAGCATAGTTTAGCTGCTTTCTTAGCTCTTGTGGGAGGTGGCTTGGTACACAAAAAAGGGTTCAGCTTGGTCTGTGTGGGGGCACGTCACCGGAAAAGCCTTACAGAGTCACCGTCTTGTTCTGGTTCTTCACTGGTCTGTCTCTTTTCCTTCTTCCTTTTTTTAACGTTTATTTATTTTACATAAATACATGACGGCAGCACACAGTGATCACACTCATCTGGGGGAGCTGGACTTAGAATATCTTAATTCCTTTTATTCCTCCTCTGCTTTCCTCTCCTCAGTCCCTTCATTTTTAGATCTCTGTCTGGTTTTTCAAGCTAACATGAATTGCCCAAGATAAGCTATCTTGTGTTTCTTCACTAAGGGGAGAAATAAGTCCTTTTATTTCTATGAATATTTTTGTTTACCTCTTTCTCTACTTTAAATTCTTTTTTTTTTTTTTTTTTTGTCTTTTTCCTTTTTATCGGTACCAGGGATCGAACTCACGACTGCCTGCTTGCAAGGCAGGTGCTTATGCCGCTGAGCTAAATCCCCAGCCCCATAAATTCTGATAATAATTAATTCTCACAGCAGTTTGGTGTGAAATACTCACCACCAAAAGAATGCCATAAACAACAGAAACTTAATTTTCAGAGTTCTGAAGGCTGGGAGGTCTAAGATCCTGGTGCTGGTCCAGGTGCCTGGTTTGGCACTGCATGTGTCTCTGAGATGTGTGTTACATCTGTAGCCTCTCCTGACTTAAGAAGCCATCTCTGGCCTGCAAGCCATCGCTTGCAATTCATGAGAATTTCTCCCTACTACTGAGCTTTTCCCAATCCTTGACCTTTATTTCTTTGGCAGGTTGTGTGTAAGGCCTTTTATTTTGATTTGACAGCAAAATTGAGAATGACTGCCGGCCACTCCCCATTCTTTGTGTGTTTTTATAGCCCTAGAAGGGCTGATTTAAGTGGGTTGATTCTCCAGGAAAGTTGCCTGATCAAAGTCGCAGGCCTTATTGCATTTCCCAGAGAAGGTGTGGCCTTATTTCAAAGACCATGAGAGGTGAAATGTTATTAGAAGGAAGCCCAGGCTTGGGGCTAATCAATTCTTAATCTCAAAAGATGCCAGTGTGAGACAGGAACTCTGGAAAATATCTTGTTACATTTTTGTTGTTTTACGCTTGGGGAAATAGAGGCTGGAGAGGAAAATAAGATTTAAAATCTTAGCACTAGTGAGCACGGTGGTCCATCTGTTACTGTCCTACCCCAGGCCACTAGTGGCCATCAGGACCTCGTCCATACTTGCTAGAGAGCACTCAGGGGGCAGAGAAACATGCTTTGTGTCCCAGGGCAGCTGTAATAAGGGCTAAGCATCCTAGTAGGGAACATGCTCAAGGGGCTGTGACAGTGGATGGGTTTGAAATCCTGTCTGAAAGGATGAGAAAGTGTCTGATAGACAAGGAAGGGTGGCTTAGGTCAGGCTGTAATTTCAGCAGTGAAATACTTACCATGGAGAATGCCTGGCCGTTATTTTGAGGAGACAGGACTAGATTATTATAGAGGTAGGGCTGTGGAGTCCTGCAGACCTGAGTTTGTGTACGGGGAACCTGTCCCTTACATCTGTGTGACCTCAGTCAAAATACTTCTTCCTAAGCCTTGTTTTTACCTGTAAAATGGGGATAATATTGGCACTGATCATCAGGTTGAAAGAGGGTTGAATAGAATCACGGGTGCAGGACACCTAGCACAGTAACAGCGTGCAGAAAGTGCCCAGCACATTGCTGTGGGTGATTATTTTTGACCCTGTTACACATTTGCCTTCTGGTCACCTAAGCCAGTCCCACTCCTCGACCTCACAGGGTGGTATTTGGCTTCAGACAGAAGACCACCTTGTGCCACAGAGGCAGACTGTCGGCTCTGTCCTGCCATGTTTTGTCTTTTTGAAACAAGGTCTCCTCATGTAGTTCAGGTTGGCCTTGAGCTCACTTTGAAGCCCAGGCTGGTCTCGAACTCACAACGATTGCAGGCTTGAGCCACCACACCCAGCACTTGCCTTACTGGTTTGAGGAATTATGAGGTTAAAAAAAAAAGGGGATTGTCATTCTGACATGTAAAAGCAGTAATAGTTGGCATTCGAGTAACACTCTGCAGTTTACAAAGTGTCCTCACATCCGTAAGTTAGTTTACCCTGAAATCCACCCCACAAGATATTTCCTTCCTATCTTATCTCTGTAAGACTCTCTTCTCGAGGGTCAGGCAAATTTAGCAAGATGAAAGTCAAGCCATTTCTCTGGAAGGAATATTTTAATTCCCAAAAATCTTCCTTAGCTTTGGGGTATAGAATTTCCTTTCATGGAGCTGAGTTTTCTAGGGGAAGGTAGTGCCTGATAAGATAGTAACATCTCAATTCAGTGTGAAGAACCGCAGGCTGGGTTTTCCCTAGTAGAGGTCCCAGAGCTGCTGAAGATTAGGGCACCCAGGTCACTGCCTCAAGCACTCCTAATCTTGTCTAGACAAGATAAACATCCACACACAGGCAAGTGTTTGCAAGGTTAGGTGTTATTTACAAAGCCAGAAATATCAAAGGGCAAAATGAAAACCATTTTAAAGATCTTAATTGATTTTATTTTAGATTCTGGAATCAGTAAGGGTTCTTTTCCCAAAAGAGAACCATTGTCCCAAATGGGTTGAACAGAAGAGGTTGGGTTTTAGGGGCGGAGGAAGGCTAAACAAAATGGAAAAACAAAGAACCACGAGCAAATGGACCTCTTCACAGTTAGTTTCTTGGAGCTGAAGATTTTGCTCAGCGGCTCAAATGCTTGCCGGTAAGCATGAGGTTGGGAGTTCCATCCCTGTAGCGAAACCAAACCAAACCAAACAATCCTACAAAGTTACTTTCCTAGTATGTCAGCACAGAACAGTAGAAGGATAACGGTTAGTATCAGGTAATTTTTCCTTCCTTTTTTTTGCCTAAGGATTAAGACAGCGGGAATTTGTACCACCTGAAATCTTCCTGTTGGGGAAATTTGGCTGTTATCTCTCATTTTTCCTCATTTTGCTGTATTTGTTTTGTTTTGTTTGCAATCCTGAGGATTGAGGCTAGGTTATGTCCTCGGCTCTTGACTTTTTATTTTGAGATAGGAACTCTCTGAATAACGAAGTTGCCCAGGCTGGGCTCAAACTTGACCCTTCTGCCTCAGCCTCCCAAAGCGCTGGGATGATAGGTGTGTGCTGAAACATCTACTCTCCTGCTCCCCCCGTTTATTAACATGTCTGCGGTACCTATGACTGCCGTCACTGTAGAGAATTGGTGCATGCACACAACACATCTCAATTTCCTCCCCACCCACCCCTTCACCCCCTTTTTATTTTTCCAGCATCAGAGTCATTTATTTATTATAAGACCTTATAAAGTTATTATTATACACACAGATTGAAAACCAGACTAGTAGGCCAAGGAACATATAAAGCATGTAAGACAATTATCCTAGATCATGGTACACATTTGGATACATAATCTGTGTTGGATTACAATTCCTGTTTTTCTTTCTCTTTTTTCTTATTATCTGTCTTTTATTTTGTACTTTATATATATTGAGTTTTTCATATAAGAGAAACCTTGTGATATTTAAGCTTGTGTGTCTGAGGACTTCATTTAACATCATGGTCTCAAGACGCATTGATTCTCCTAAAAATGACTCAGGTTTATCATTCATTATGGCTGAGTAGTACTCCATTGCATAAAAATATCACATTAAAAATCTGTTCATCTGTAGATGGGCGTATAATATTAGCTATTATGGATGGTGCTGCTGTAAACATGGGTATGCCTGCATCACTGTGGTATGACATCTTTAACTCTTTTGGGAAGATACGTAAAAGGGAAATAGCTGGGTTAAATGGAATTTCTATTTTAGCTTTTTAATGAATCTCCAAACTGGATTGAAGAATCAGACACAGTGTGGAAGGGTTCCTTTCTCCACAGGCACTCCCTGGCATTTGTTGCTTGGTTTCTATTTTTTTTTTGTCTTTTTCTTTTTTATTAGTACCGGAGATCGAACTCACGACCATTCACTTGCAAGGCAGGCGCTTATGCCGCTGAGCTAGATCCCCAGCCCCTGTTGCTTGGTTTCTTGACGATAACAGCCATTCTTTCCGGGGTGAGATGGAATCTCAAAATTGTTGTTATTTGCATTTCTTGAATGACCAGCGATGCCGAACATTTTTTCACATATTTATTTTATTCATTTGCTATTTCTGTTTCTTCCTTTGAGAAGTGTCTATTCACTTCCGATGTCCCACCCCCTTTTTAAACAGGGTCTTTAAATTTAGAGGGTCAAATTTTTTTGAGTTCTTGTTACAGTCTAGATATTAGTTATTTTTCTGAGGAGTCACTGGCAAACCTTTTTTCCCATTCTGTGAGTTGTCGTCTCACTGTTCGTGGTTGCCTTTATTCTGTGTCTCCTGTAGTGACAAGTCAGACGAGCAGTTTAGCTTCTGTGTGGTGACCAGGGACTCAGGCATGAGTGACCCCATTTCGATTTTTTGTCCGATCTTTGGAGCTCGGCCCAAGAACCTCATCCAAAACAGTGGCCTCTTGTAATTTCGATTCAACAAAAATAAACTTAAAAGTGCACTCGTGTGGGAAGCAGACGGAGGTGGCAGCCCTCCTGCTACCTTGAGATTCAACTAACTCCTGATTTTAGAAAAACCGAAGCGGTTGAAAGCGCGATCTTTTTAACAGCTCAGTGTCTCTCACTGAAAGGCCTGGGTGCCGAAGCTGACAGGCACCCAGCCTCCAGGCACCTGACCTCCAGTTTGCTGTCAGCAGCAGCCAGTACTTGCCTGGCTGCATTTCCGAAATTTCCGTTAGAATTTTCTCATCTGATTCCATCCTCTCCCATGATTCCGGATCGTGGTGCTGGAGCAGTCTCCGTCTGATCCCTGGATTATCGCAGGTGACGTTAAAGAGCCCCCTGGCAGCTTCCTCCTGTGTTAAACCCTGCATCAAGGCACACTACAGGTTTGTCTGAGTCTCGCCATCGGGGTAGTTTGACTGCAGCTGGATTCTCTTCAGCTTTACTGCAGGACTTCTCTGCGAATGGCCAAGGCTTGCACGACTATCGGTCAACCAAGGTGCCTCTGTCTGTTCTTGTGCAGGGTCCTACGCGGGGGCTGTGGTCGCCATGCCCCTGGCGGGGGTGCTGGTGCAGTACATCGGATGGGCTTCGGTCTTCTACATTTATGGTAAGTGATTTGACCCAGTAGCTCACATGGTGACTTACAGAGGTGATATTTTACCCTTTAAGGATCCCGCTAAGAGTTTAGGGCTGTGTGGAAGGAGAGGTTACCAAGGCAAATCTATCATACAGTGCAATGCCTCTATTTGCAATGAATTTAATGTTTATATTAAAATCGATTTTTTTCAATAAGTGGGACATTATCTTTTTAAAATGTCAACTTGATAACAACAGAAAAAAAATCAACAAAATACTTTTTCCTGGCCACAAATATTGTTATTTGGGGCTACTGTGGAAAGAGATGGGAGACCATAAGACTACACCACCGAAGTGTTTTGTTTTTTAACTGCAGGCATGTTTGGGATTATTTGGTACATGTTTTGGCTGTTGCAAGCCTATGAGTGCCCAGCTGCTCACCCAACAATATCTAATGAGGAGAAGACTTATATCGAGACCAGTATAGGAGAAGGAGCCAGCGTGGCTAGTCTAAGTGTGAGTAGAAATACACAGACAAGGCTTGCTTCTTGTTCTATGACTGTTTCTCCTCCTGACTGTGCTACTCTCATAAAAAAATAAGATGTCAATATCATCATTAAAAATTTCACGGTGTTTTTATTCCTTAGAAATTTAATACCCCATGGAAAAGATTTTTCACATCATTGCCGGTTTACGCAATCATCGTGGCAAATTTTTGCAGAAGCTGGACCTTTTATTTGCTCTTAATAAGTCAGCCTGCTTATTTTGAAGAGGTCTTTGGATTTGCAATCAGTAAGGTAAACACACACAGAAACTTCAAATATTCTTGGACTTTAACTTTCTTGATTTCTACCAGAAATATCTTTGTAGGATCGTAACTCAGCAGTTTTGTAATTCATGGTAATTCATGGCTTGGATATCAGACAAGTTACACATTCTGTGCAGAATATGCTAGCTATTTGATTTCTTCTTAACAAAGACGAGAGCTGTAAGAAGCTGCTTTTAAAGATTTGCTTTCTACCCAGTCTCAAAGTGTGTTGGAAGCTAACTCGAGGACCTTGAATTAGACCGAGATAAAAAGATTTGACAGTGAGAGTTTCATGTCTCCCCATAAACTTCTTAGTGAGCCAGAAAGAAACTTAAAGCTCATTCTTCCAGCCACCCCAAATCTGTGACAGTGATTGTAGCGGTAACTACCTTTGCTTGTGCTGATTTAGAAAGAGCTACTGTCAGCATCTCCAGGCTCTGTCATTAAATTGTCTGTGTTTCATGGGGGGAGACTTTTAAGGGGGGCACAGAAACTACCACTGAGAAGAATAAAAGCTCCTTCTGAAAGCACAGACCAGCCTGGTAGCAGGGGTGGGTGTCTGCATGGCTCCGGGCACCGTCAGAACAGCCCACGGAAGAACCAGGTGCCCTCAGGGAGCAGCGCTGTGTGGCAGGGCTCTCTCTGCCCTGTGCCAGGCCTTACGTTCACTGTTGGGGCCTCTGAGATGCATAAAAGCCCACTGCGCCCTCTGGGAGCTTCCAATCGTTGGAGGGGACAGCTAGACCTATGCTACACCATTTGCTCATTCATTACTGGGTGATTACTAAGTTCCCTGGGTGCCAGGCTAGGTGATTAAATCCGGTGGTGGCCCTGGGGACAGCGGTGGCATGGGAATGATCAGCGTGCAGGGAGACATGTGTCCCAGCAGAATCAAAGGTGCGAAGTAGGGGCTGGGGATTTAGCTCAGCGCCTGCTTTCAAGTGCAAGGTCGTGAGTTCGATCCCCAGTACCAAAAAGAAAAAGAAAAAAAAAAAAAAAAAAAAGAAAAAGAAAAAGAAAAAAGAATCAAAGATGCCAAGCGCTGCTTTCCTTCCTTCCAGGTGGGTCTCCTGTCGGCAGTGCCACACATGGTGATGACGATTGTGGTGCCCATTGGAGGACAGCTGGCCGACTATTTAAGGAGCAGAAAAATTTTGACCACGACCGCTGTCAGGAAGATCATGAACTGTGGAGGTACGTGGACTTCATAGTGGGTTTGCACGGCTTCCGTAGGATTAACCGGAACTGCAGACATGTTTTAGAGGCGATGTCTAGCCAGTGACACGGAGGAAGAAGAAAGCGACTTACTGGGGTTACAGATCCTGGGCAAGGTCCAGCCTGGGCAAGGTCCATCTGGGCAAGGTGCCAGCGCTCTTGGTTACTCTTGGCTGCCACCTGTTCAGTGCACGGGGGTCAGCTTGACTGGGCGGGAGGTGGAGGATAGCGTGGCTGATGGGAGAGAGGTCCCAACAGGGCCCTCCACTGGACAGGAGGGGATGGGCATGATCTCACTCTAGGTTAGACGGGTCCGGTCCATTTAGAAGGAAAGACTGAGGGGCACAGGGAAGGCCTGATCCGTGCCCTCCGTGCTTCTCGGGAACAGAGTTTGACTGATAAAGCTGGGTATCCCAGCAGCACCAGGGATGTTTGGGCCTGGCTTCAGCTCGAAGGTGTAGGAGAGGAAATGTTGGCAAGGGTGGCCCTGCTTTCTGGGAGCAGGAGATGAAGCTCTGAAGCCCTGCATCCGGCACGCAGTCTGGAGCAGCTGTGGTAGGGGCAGTAAGGTCCATGTCCTAGCTCTTGGAATCTCTGATTATGTTTGTTCACAGGTCCAAGGGGACTTGGCAGATTCTTAAATCTTGAGACAGGGACCTGTCTTAGTCACTTTTCTCATTGCTGAGACACAATACCAGACACCCATAAGTTAAAGCAGGAAAAGCTGATTTCGCTCACAGTTTGTGGAGGTTTTGGTCAATAGTCGGCTGGCTCCAAGGCCCAGTGGCACTGCAGAGGGGAGCTGCGGAGGAGAAGCAGCTCAGGGCAGGGCAGAGAGAAGCAGAGGCGTAGGTTATGGGAGGGGCAGGAGAGACGCAGACTCAGGCCACACCTCTGGGCACCCCTGCTTCTGCCCAGAGCCCACCTCCTGACAGCCAGGGCACACTTCTGAGACCCTCAGAGATGGATGTCAGGTCCTTGCACTGCTGCTGCAGTCTGTGTGCACAAAGTTCTCCTCGAGCCAAGTCAGTTGTTGGTGTGAGCGTCACATTATTTTTTTTTTTTTTAAATCTTCTGAGACAGGGTCTCACTATGCAGATCAGGCTGGCCTTGAGCTCACTTTGTAGCCCGGGCTGGTCTCAAACTCACAGCATCTTCCTGCCTCAGCTTCCCGATGCTGGGATTATAGGTGTGCACCACCACACCTGCCTTGCGTCATACTCTCTTAATATGAAGTGACAGTTTTCTTAGATCTTTAAATCCTACTGTCACTTTGTCAACTCTGCAGAGGTTCATTTTCTTTTTTTGGTACCAGGAATCAGACTCACAGTCTCGTGCTTTCCAGGCAAGCACTTGAGCCACTCAGCTAAATCCCTGGCACCAAAAGGTTTGTTTTTAAGGCTTTGTTGGTTATCTGAGAAGCTCAAATTTTCTCCCTGAGCTCCTGAAATATGCCCTGACTGTAGTCTTTTAACTGTCGGAATGGGTTAAGCTCTTGAGTCCTTTTTCTTCCTTTGCAAATCTGCTATTTGACTAAGAACATATTTTTTTTTTCTTATAGTTGAACCAATAAATAACATCTGTAAGTTTTATTCTTCACATGATGTCTTCATGATAACTTCTTGGGGGAATTAATTAACCTCCTGAAACCACGTTTGCTGAAAGATTTCAGCGGTACAATCTGTTTGTGTGCTGTGATAGAAGATAGGCCACTTGCAGTTTGTGCCTACGTATGATTTAAAATGTTGAAACATCCTTCAAAACAATTAGCAAAGGTGTAAAACCTATTTTTTTGTAGTGTTATAGATTAAACCCATTTGTGTGTGTTAGATCATCACTGTATCACTGAGCTACATTCTCAACCCAAGCCAATACTTGAAAAAGTACTATATTGCTTCTATACTGTCTTTTGATTTAGATGTTTATACAAAATAGTTATTCATGGTTGCTATCCTCCATAGTAGTTTTTAAGGAAAAATTTCAAGATGGGCGTGGTGGTTCATGCCTGCAATCCCAGCACTTGGGAGGCTGAGGCAGGAGGATCATTGTGAGTTTGAGACCAACCTGGGCTACAAAGTGAGCTCAAGGCCAGCCTGAACTGCATAGGGAGACCCTGTATCAAAAAAAAAAAAAAAAAAAAAGTTCAGAGAGGTAAGTAACTTAGCTAGGATCTAAGTGTGGTACCTTATATTTCAACATTTAAAAAAAAATAGGATTGATTTGAGGGCCTTATGCATACTAGGCAGTTGCTGTACTACTGAAATACATCTCCAGCCCTTTATTTTATTTTGAAATGGGGTCTCACTAAATTACCCAGGCTGTCCTTTTACTTGGATCCTCCTGCTTCAGCCTCCTGTGTAGCTAGAGTTGCAGGTGTGTGCCACTGTGTCCAGCTAATATTTTGATTCTGTTTTCTTTCCTTGGCTTGGATTCATTAGATATTATTTATTGCTTTTTTGTGTGTTGAGATTTCATCATGTTGTCCAGGATGGCCTTGAACTGGTGGCCATCCCATCTCAGCCTTCTGAGTGGACTGGCTGGTTTATAAGCAGTGTCACATGTTATTTATTGAGCACTCACTACCTGTTAGACAGATTCTGTGTTCAAAGTACAGTTTTGTGGGAGAGACAAAAGCACACGTGAAGAATTACAAAGCAGTGTTGAAAATTGTATCAAATAAGGAGGAGATGGGTCGGGGACACAGCCCAGCGGCACGGTGCCTGCTTGGCAAGTGCAAGGGCCTGAGTTCGATTTCTGGTGCCTCCCAAACGAAACGTGAACTTTAAAATAAGAAGGAGATGCCCACTTCCTTTGTGGACGGTATGGTAGAGTTGTCGAAAAGCTTTCTAGGGGGAGCAGTAGCTGAGCCTGGCCTTAAGGGACAATAAAAGGCGAAATGACAGAAGAAGAGCGTCTCACCTGTGAAAATGGGCACGGGCGTGAGGCAGGTTGTGCGATGGGGACAGAGGGCTGTGTTTGGTGGGCTGGGGCGGTGGACACAGCTGCTAACTGGCAGGAGGGGAAATAGGAACAGGACGCCATGGAACACCAGGGGCATGACTTGGAGCCCTTGGAAATGTTTTGAGCAAATCGGGGGCCAAAGAAGTGTGTGGTTTAGGGAGTGAGGTGCGAGGAATGGGTCAGGGGAGAGGAGGAAGGGGAGCAGGAGGCACCCCAGGATGATGGTAGAGAGGTCACAGAATGGCTGATGCCATCAGCACAGCCCTGTGGTCATCACACGCCTGGGTCCTAGTGTAAGCACCGTGTCAGAAGGTGTGTGCTAACTGCTTAGGTCTGTTGTTTAACCAATTAATAACCTTTGGCCAAGTGACACAAAACTGACCCCCGCCTCCCCAAACTGTTTCCCTTTGCAGGTTTTGGCATGGAAGCAACCTTGCTCCTAGTGGTCGGCTTTTCCCACACCAAAGGGGTGGCCATCTCCTTTCTGGTGCTTGCTGTGGGGTTTAGCGGCTTTGCTATTTCAGGTAAAGCGTCCTTTCTGTGTCTGAGTCTTGGGTGTGGATCACTGAGCCTTAGCTGGTGGGAGGAGTAAGCCTGTGTCCGCTGTGTGTCTTCAGTAGCCAGGCCTTCCCAAGGAGCCGGGCCACTGCCTTGTGGGGTCACGGGGAGAAGGCGGGAGCAGTGTGACTTGGGATTGTCCCTACTTACTCTGTCAAGGGAAAGACACGGGTGAGTTCTCTGAGGCCAAGCAGAGGCCCAAGCATGCATCCTGGGTCCTCAGCACATCACCGGCCTACCTGGGCCTTTGTGAGCTTCATTCCTAACTTCCCACTGGAGAACTGCTTGTGTCAGCTCATCGGTCACAGCATCGGGGCTTTGTAGAGTGGAGGAGTCTTTAGGTTATGTCTGCTCTGCTACCTTTTCACCAACAACAAGAGCGAGTCCAGAGAAGGAAGGTGACTCTGAGAATGGGCACAGTAGGTAGGAATGGTAACAGTAATGTCATTGTCACATCTGCCCTAGCGGGGATCGGTGCTATTGGACCCCCATTTTTCAGGTGCAGAAGCCAGTCCACTGCGCGGGGGAGAGCAGGGTGCAATCAGATCACACCTTACAGACTTCAGAAACTGCCAGTGCAAAACTGGAGAGGAAGTAAAATTCAGTAGTTTGCTTTTAAAACATTATATAAGAAATTGTTACAGAAAATTTTGCATGATTGTATTTATCTCACAACATCATGAATATAAGTAATATTGACACTTTGGTTTTTGGGGGTTGGCACCGGGGATTGAACTCACAACCTCACGCTTGCTAGGCCCTTTCTTGAATTTTCACTGATGTCTACCAAAGTTCATAAATACTGGCTTCTTCCTTATACCCCATAACTGGTGGCAAGAGAGGGTCAAAAGCGTGTCTGCCTGGCCCAAGTCTTCTCTTGCCCTTAACCCAGGCTAGTTTAAATATCAGAGACTGATAATGTTCTAGTACCAAAAAATAGGGAACTTTTGGTCAAATGTGCTCTATAATGGAAGCTCGATGTAGCAATCAACATAAACAGAGCTGATGAATAGTTAAATTAGCCAGCAAAACAAAACAAAAATCATGAAAGATCTACTTTTGAACAGCTGAGAACTTGGGTTTTTGCAATGCTTGGACCCGGGTTTGAGACCCTTTCTTGACTGCTTTTTATTTATCAAAGAAAACCTTTGTCACATTATTTAAATTCTCACCCAGAGATTCCAGAGCAGCTCCACAGGGCGGTTGGTAGAATGAACCAAGGTCTTGCTGAGCCCAGCTGGGCGCCGTCCTCAGCCCTGCGGTTACTGCAGGGAGAGCTCAAAGTTTGCCCTCGTCCTGTTTCCACTGCACTGGAAATGAGGTCTTCCGAATCCTCGGCACAGTGTCAGATGCGGAATAAAATTAATAAGTGCGCTGTGTTATTACTGTTCTATTTTGGTGCACCTCAGCCCAGCTCTTCTCAGACAGTAGGGACATAAAGCCCGCTAATATGGCACAGAATGCTTAGCTGGCTCCGTAGGTCAGATGGAGCCTGAGGTCCCGCAGCGCTGGCAAAGCTCTGCCGCGATACCCTTGGCGCCCACACTTGGAGGCAGCAGTGACTGCTTTCAGGAGGACGCTGAGGGGCCCTTCGCCTCTGTCGCGGTGGTGCAAAAGGGGTTCCTCCTGTCTCACGAGACGCAAAAGTGTTCAGGTTCACCCTGCTCTGAGGGGCCAGTTAACTTGCCCAAGTATGTCAAGCTGATGCAGCAGTGGCCCTGTGGTCAGGGGGGACGATTCCCTGGGACCTCCTGTCTGCCAGCTTAGGAAGGCATCAGTCAGGCTGCTGGGGGAGACTGGAACTGACGGATGGCGACACAGCCAGGACAGGGAGTTAGGAAGATGCGGAGATGGTGATGCTTGATGTGGGGAATGTCCAAGACTCGTGGCGTGGCTCTACGTTTTTCTCCTATTCGACAAAATCCTAACAGTCCCTCAGCTTCTCAGTGATTGTGTAGCCAGAAACCGAAAGGGCCTGGCTAAAATTATCTCTAGCTGGACGCAGATGCCTGGGCTTCGTATCAGAACATAATACTTGACAATCACTTTAATTGCTTCTTATCTCTGGGTCCTTTTCTAATAAAGTATTTATCGCATCCAAGTAAACAGTAAGATTAATTATTCTTGCAGCTGTTTTGTATTCTGATGGTTTGGCACTTTGATCTGAAAGAGAAGGTAAGTTTATGACAAAAAGGTTTAAGCAAAAATCATTCCTGAATAGAAGTAGGAAAAAACCAAAAACACTCAACCAATGTGCCAGGCTAGAGAAAACTTGGTTTGAATCTTATATTCAAGGGTATTTTTTGCATGAATCTCTAATTAATTCTTTAAGTAATAAACAAAAGAAAACGAGAACATGATTAAACAAATTCTACAACTCTTTGCTTTTAGTGGCTAAAATGGTAATGAATTAAATAGCTGTTTATTGAGTGACTACTATGTGTCAGACACTTTGGAAAGATGGTGATAAACTGGACGGAGGGCTCACACCCATGGAGAGCATACATGTTGGCTTTCAACTCTGTGTACCATGAAATTAACATACATTAACATTTCTTTTCCTTGAGACAAGGTTTCACCATGTAGTTCAAGCTGGACTTGAACTTACCATGTAGCCCAAGCTGGCCTTGAACTCATAGTGATCTTCCTGCCTCAGCCTCTCAAGTGGTGGGATGACAGGTGTGCACTCCCACATCCAGCTATTTAACAACGCTTACAACAATTTTATTCGAATGATCACCCTCATGTGTAGAGGAAGAAACTGCAGGTCTCCACGTTTTCATTCTTAACACGGGTTTGCATCTCTGTTAAGCTGCTGGAGCTGAGCTCTGTTTGACCTTACAGCACCCCTGGGAAATCCCGGCAGAGCTGGTTTCCAGCCGCTCACACCTCTTGCACATCCTGGTCTTCCCCTGATTTCACTCCTGCCCGTCCTTCTGCCTTGCCTTTCTCCTGATAAACAGAGTCGGATGTCGCTGACTTGGTATTTTACCACTTCTAGTGGCATCAGGGAGACGCTTAGCTGTAACCAGGACAGCTGCGTTAGCAGCCGCGGGGTGAGGCAGTTAATGGGGTGTAGCTGTTCTCAGGGGCTCCCACAGATGTACTTCCCCCCAGCCTCACACACGGCCCAGCACCGTCAGAAGGTCGGCAGTAACATCACACCCCAATCCGAGGTGAGAAAATGGGCTGAAAAGTCCTTGGTTATCTGGTGGAAATAAGACGTGAATCCAGAGGTACAGACCCCAGATCAAGGAGGTGAGGGCAAGTGTTTTTGCACACTACCGAGGGCTCTGCCAATATTTATGCAGATTTTTTTTATTAAAAAGTGTCCTTCCCATCGGTGCCCCATGGCTCCAAGGCAGGCTACCCACGGAGGCCTTTTAGGAATGAGTCAAGGGGTGGCAGTAGGCCTTCTACGAAGCAATGTTTGGTTCTGCAGTGTGATTGCTCTGAATACATGTGGTCCAGGCGTTCGTTAGGTTCTTCAGTGTTGCACCCAACGCTGTATTTTTGAGTTGCAAATCTTCAGGGCACTCGTGCTGTGACCCTTCTCTCCCGGCAGATCCCATTCAGAACACTGCTGAAGCCTCGTGCTTTCTGGCTTTGGGCGGACCCTGCCCAGCAGTGCTGAGCCCAGCTCTCTTGGTGGCGCCTGGGTTACAGTGGTCTCCTTTAGAGGAAACCAGAGATTGATAAGACTTGGGGCAAGCTGGAGATTCCCCAGAGGGCATCTGCAGTCCTGTCCCTGACTCTCATCTTGAGGTTTCGGTTTTTCACTCTAGGTTTCAACGTCAACCACCTGGACATTGCCCCTCGTTACGCCAGCATTCTCATGGGCATCTCCAATGGAGTGGGAACCCTCTCTGGAATGGTCTGTCCTCTCATTGTGGGCGCCATGACAAGGCACAAGGTAACGGCCTCCCCGGTGGCTGCGGGTCGTAGTATTAGAGGTCAGACGCGCTGCACGGTGACGTCTTGAGCCCCTACCCTGGCCTGCAGATGTGTGTGTTCTTGACTGAGTCACTGAGCACCTTCTTCCCGTTTCCTCCTGCTCCTCCTCGTCCTGTTTATGGTTGTTGTCTGTTACGGCCCCAGGGCTAATTATTATTTGGTTCCACATTTTCTTACCTTAGAAATCAAGCTTTAGAGGAGAAGGATGAAGGCTCTGGAGACTGAAGCAATCAACTCAGGATAAATGCTTTACCTGAGATTAGTTTATAATCCCAACTTTACAGCCTGTTTCCCTCTATTGCTGAGCAGGTCACCACATAAATATATTAATGCTGTCATACTTCCTTGTGAAGGAGAAAATGAATCAGGCATTCCCTCCTTGCTAAGACCCCGCGAGGGCGGCTCCTGAACCCCTGTATAACGGCTGGTGTGGGTGACAGGGGACCCGAGTTCAGCCAGAGGCCCAAACCGGAGCTCTGTCATTGAAAATTTTGTATTTTAAGTTTGGGTTTGAAATTTTTTTCTATCTTGGGTTTTTATTTTTAACCTAACCATTTCCTTAGTTTATTTCTTATAAGTTTTATTTCTGAAATTCTTTGATCTTCTTGGAGAAGAAAATATGAGATGATTTTTCTTGCTTTTGGATAAAAAGAGCATTTGTGCATTTTACAAGCAGAGGAGTCACATTTTCCATCTCTGTTCTCGAGGTGAGAGGGTTGGTAACAAGCGTACCAAACCTAAGAGACTGGTTTTCCCCAACTCTAAATACAGTTTCCCATCATTTATTTATTGCTTTTTAGACAGAAAATAGGATTACGAATGAGCTTTTGGTAGTCAAGTCTGAACACTTCCCTGGCCCCGAAACTGGGGTGTATGGAACAGCATGCATCGGCAGCTCTCTGAAATTTAAAACACGGGGGCCCTGAAGCAAGTTCAATTAGGCTGTGTCACAGTGCGATATATATTTTTGCATTAAAAAAATCGAATGTTACTTTTAAAAGTAAAACTGCACCTTGACTGTAGTCTGAACCTCCTTGTTAGACCTGGGCCCCCGACGCTGCCCCTCACACGCGTCCCTGCGGGAGCGTGGCACTGATCTTGCAGGCGAGGCAGGCGCTGCGGTGGCAGTGCGGCCTCGGGGTGCCTCGGGGTGGCTCGGGGTGCGCTCCCCGCCTCCGCGGCCGCAGGCGCTCACCCGCCCGTGTCCCCGCAGACCCGCGAGGAGTGGCAGAACGTGTTCCTCATCGCCGCCCTGGTGCACTACGGCGGGGTCATCTTCTACGGCGCCTTCGCCTCCGGGGAGAAGCAGGCGTGGGCGGACCCCGAGGGCCTCCCGGGGCAGGAGGAGCGCTGCGCCTTCGTGGCGCAGGACGAGCTGGCGGAGGAGACGGAGCTCGGCCGCGAGGCGGCGGGGGCTCCCCGCAAGAGGGCGTCGTACGGGGCCACCAGCCGGAGCCCCGCGGCCCCCAGGACGGAGCGGGACGGGCCGGACGCGGCCCCGCAGGAGGAAGGGCCCGCGGGCCCCCCGGACGGCGAGGGCGGCCGCGCCCCCGCGCCCTAGGCTGGGGTGCAGCCGGGAGCGCCCCTCCCCCGCGCCCCTCCCCCGGCCCGGCTCGGGGTGCAGCCGGGAGCGCCCCGCCCCTTCCCCGGCCCGGCTCGGGGTGCAGCCGGGAGCGCCCCGCCCCTCCCCCGGCCCTGCTCGGGGTGCAGCCGGGAGCGCCCCTCTCCTCCCCCAGCCCGGCTCGGGGTGCAGCCGGGAGCGCCCTGCCCCTCCCCCGGCCCGGCTCGGGGTGCAGCCGGGAGCGCCCCTCCCCCGCGCCCTTCCCCCAGCCCGCTGTTGGGGGGGAGCGCGCGGACCCCGGAGGGAGCAGCCCCCCAGCCGGGCCGGGAGCGCGTGCCTGCCCTCGCTGAAAACACCGCACGTGATCGCGTCTCCTGGCTCGGCCGTCGGCTTTCTCCAAAGATCTGAGCTGATTCAGAAAATGAGTGGAGAGTGAAAAGGACGACGCCGTGTGGTTAGGGGGTGCTGCGGGAATGGGGTGCCGTCGGGCCACCCAGAGGGAGGACGGAGGCCCCCTCGGAGCCCTGGGGGTGCAGCAGCTTCGTGCACATCTGCATCCCACCCCACCCCGGAGCACACGTTGATCATCCTCGTCTCCCAGCGGACGGAAGGGTGACCTGGCCGAGGTCGTCTGCCCCGGGAGTCCGGCAGCGTAGGAAGGCAGTTCCAGCCGAGGGCCACAGGAAACTGAAGACTCATGCGCTCGTGCACTCTGCAGGCGGTTTTCTGTTGGGCAGGGGTATGCAGGCCGATTGGCTGAGGGACATTAAACATTTATTAGGCGAGGTCCTGGGTTCGAAGACCCTTAGCATTTTATATTATTGGAAGACTGTGATTTCACAGTCATGTGTTTTTGTTTTAATAATAAGGATCACAGACCGCATGAGAGATTCAAATGGGTTTAAAAGAAAAAAAAAAAAAAAAAAAGAAGCTAAGCAAGACAGCCAAATTCCTAGGACTCCCTTGACCAGAATGGTTGAAAAGAAGTAAACAAAGGATTGGCTATTAAATTTCAATTCTTTATAATGTCAAGATTGTGACTAAATTACATCTCAAGTGACTTACAAATCTTTGAGACATTTAATACTTTCAGAAGTAAAATTCTATTAAAGACTCATGTCTAAATATATATATATATATAGCCGTTTCTGTAAAAGTTAGGAAGTTTGAATAAATAGTGTAAAATTCTGGTTGAAGTTTTAAAGTGACTCCATTTGGAATGATATTCAGGGAAAGAACAATACCATAGAAGTAGCCATGCAGAAAATTCTAGAATAAAACATCTGAGATAACTGGACCTGCAGTTGGTGTTGAAAAATTCACTTTGGGTCAAACTAGGCAGTGACGTGGGTACTCTCTAGATATATTTAAAAAGATAACGTTGGCATGTAAAAGGTTACTTGAAGGTAAAATTATTTTCTTGTTCAATTATTTTGAAGATTTTATTTCTATTTTCAGAAGAAAAACAATATGATGGAAAATTATAGATATACTTGTAGTTTATAATAGTAAAGTGTTTTTTCCTATTTTTCCATGTATATATTTCTAGTCCTTAGTTATACCTGTGTAGTTGTAATGTATTTTATAAAAAGAATGATCTTGCATTAAAACACAATTGTCTGACTTTCCATTAAATTATATTCTTTATAGTATTGTTTACCGTTTATGTTGTCAGACATCTTTAAATCTCTTTAATAAGTGAATTACAAGTCTTTCAGGACCGGTCCCGGCATGTAGAAGTGCGCAATAAATATCCATCATCTTCGCCATCATCACTCAGCCTTTTTGGGGAAATTTTCAGTTGTAAACAAAGCATGCTGTGTTACCTGCACTCAATGAACCAGAATTTACTGTAAAAATACGCTGCTTTTGAATTTTACAAATGTCAGAAATTTACAGTAGCCAGTTTGTGTTTTAATAAAGCAAAACAACAATATATAATAAACCCTCATGAGAATCCTTAAGATAATCTTTTAGATTGTAAAACAAAATTGTATTTATCTCATCACTTGAGATTGGTGTCATATGCGAGCATTTCACATTTGACCCATAACTTCCCTGACAGTATTTTTTTTTAAAGACAGAGCTCTGGTCATGATGTTAATTGCTAGAAAGCACATTATGTTGTTGTGATGTGTTTTTCTCTGTTTGCACTGAATACCAGACAAGTGTGATTTGCAAGTCTTTGCAGCGGGTTTTGCTCATGCTGTCGAATGCAGGCGGAGCAGGACCTGCAGCAGGAAGGGAAGGGGTCTGAGGGGCTGGATTCTTGAAATAAAAAAGTTCCGATTGTCCTTTCCAACTAATGATGTGTTGTATATGCCTGAATATGATGAGAAAATAGTTATTCCAAAAATAACGGACCATTTGTTGTCCTTGCCTGCATATTCAATTGGGAAAAAATTGGGGTTTACTGTTCCTGATTGTACTACCTCATCCCAAGCCCCAAACCGGTTCTTCCTTCTCTGGTCTCATTTAAGTTATTCACATTATTATTATTATTATTATTATTTGCTCTAACTAGAACTCTTAGACTCATTTTTGGTTTAAAATTCATTATCCCTCTTCTCTCATGAGTTCAGTTGACTTTCAATCTGTAGATCTATGCCTCATACAGTGTTGGAAAATTCCCCATCTTACCTTTTCAAAATTAAAAAAATTTTAGAAGTATGTTAAATAGAAAAAAGCTCTGTAGCCGTACAAGTGGGACACACCTGTAACCCCACACTCTGGGAGGCTGAGGCAGAAGGATTGCAACTTTTGAGCTTAGGCTAAAGATATAGCGACTTAACAAGATCCTGTCTCAGAATAAAAAAATAAGAAAGCTTAGTTCAAATGCCTGAGGTTCAATCCCAAACTTTAAAAACTAGTTTGAGAAACTATATCCCCAAATGCTATCTCATTAAAGAGTTTGTATTTCTAGTTGCCAACAAAAAAAGGTAAGATTACAAGTGAATTTTTTCAAATTAGTCTCATCTTGTATCGGTTATGCAGATGAAGTGTTTCATTTTAATAAATTTGTATTTGCACAAAACATGCTAAGATCATCTTTACTCCCTACTACCCTCCTGGCCTCACCCTTTCCAAGTGTCACATTTTGGGGACTTTAATATGTAGCGATTTTTCATGCCCAACCCCTTGTTAATCAAAGTTTCACCTCTCTCCTCCTCTTGTCTAATAATAGTCTCCCTTCTACAAATCCCAGTGTCCTCTCCTTTTAAGATTCCACATGTTCCATATGCAGTATTTGGCTCTCTGGTCTGGCTTACTTTGTTTAACATGCTGGTCTCTGGATCCACCCACTTCCTGTAAATGACAGAATCTTGTTCTTCTTTATGGTGGAGTAATACTCCCTTGTGTATACTTAGCATGTTTTCTGTATCCATTTATCTGTTGTTGGGCAGGTAGCTGGTTTCATATCTTGACTATTGTGAGTTGTGCTGCACCTTGAGTATTGTGAAGTGTGCCTATGGTTTGCTGACTTGAATTCCTGCGGGCCTGTACCAAAGACTGGTAAAGCTGGATCAAATGGTAGCCTCAGTTTTAGTTAGTTTATCTTTTTGATAAATGTCCATATTGGCTCCTGTAATGACTGTACTAACTGGCATTTCCACCAGTGGTGTGGGAGGGATCCTTTTTCTCCTGTATCTTCACCAGCATTTCTTGCTTTCTGTATCCTTGGTGATAGCCATTCTGGCTGGGGTGGGGTGAAATCTCAGGGTTGCTTTGATTTGTCTCTCCCTAATGGCTAAGGACATTGAAAGTATTTTCATCCGCTTTTTTTCATCCCCTTTTATCCATTTTTACTTCTGCTTCTGAGAAAGGTCTGTTCAGTTTGTTTGCCCATTTCTTGACTGAGCTACTTGACTTTTAGTGTTATCTTTTTTCCTTGAGTTCTTTATATATTCTACATGCTAATCCTCTGCCAGAGAGTAGCTGGTAAGTATTTTCTCCCATTTCATAGTCTGTCTCTTCAGTTTATTGTTTCCTGTGTTGTGCAGAAACTTTGAAATTTGATGTAGTCCCATTTGTTGGTTTTTGCTATGATTTTCTGCGGTAGGGGAATCATATTCTGGAAGTCTTTGCTTGTGCCTGTTGAGTAAGTGCTTTAAACAAGCAGGTGCAAAGTTTCAGGTCTTCCACATCATTTATCCATTATGAACTGATTTTTATACAGGCTGAGAGATTGGAATCTGGTTTCTGGCTCCCACATGCAGATGCATGATTTTCCCAGCACTATTTGTTAAAGATGCTGCCTGTTCTCTCATCTATATTTTTGGCTCCTTTGATCAGATTTAATAAGCTGTTGTTGTGTGGGTTTGTTCTGTTCTTTTGATCTATATGTCCATATGTCTATATGTCAGTGCCATGCTGCTTTTGTTACTATGGCTTTGTAGTATAACTTGAAACCAAGTGTTGTGAAGCTTCCAACCTTGCTCTATTTGCTTGGGCTTGTTTTGGTTATTCTGGGTCTTTCATGCTTCTGTATGAATTTTAGAATTTTTTTTCAGTTCTATGAAGAGCGTCATGAGTATTTTGTTGAGAATCGCATTGAATCTGTAGATCGCTTTTGGTAAATGACCGTTTTGACACTATTAATTGTGCCAACCCATATTTCCATCTTCAGGTGCCTTCTTCAGTTTCTTTTTCAGTGTTCTGAACATTTCATTGCAGAAGTCTTTTACTCCCCTGGCTAGACTGATCCCTATGTGTTTTATTTTATTTAAAGCTATCATGAATGCAATTGTTCTCTTGATTTTTTTTCTCAACTAGTCTGTTGCTGGTGTATAGAAAAGCTACTGATTTCTAAATGTTGATTTTGCATCTTGATATATTGCCAGATTCATTTATCAGCTCTAAAAGTCTTTTGGTAGCATCTTTCGCGTCTTCCACATAGAGGATCGTATTGTCTGCAAACAAGAACCACTTGACTTCTTCCTTTCCTGTTTGTGACCCTTTCATTTCCCGTCGCATCTAATTGCTCTAGCTATAATTTCAAGAACTATATTGAATTAGAGTGGTGAGAGTAGTCATCTTTGCCTTTGTATCTTTTAAAATACTGCTTTCGCTTCCTTCTCTGTCTTTAGGAGTCTCTGGTCACCTTTTCCGTGTTTCGCAGCCTTTTAGCTTCTTTCTATGTCATTCTTATCTTCTCGGATCTTTATTTCTCCTTCCAGGAAGGTCCCGTCGGATAAAAGTCATCTCATTGTATTCTCATTTATTTTTTGCGTTATGGGGATTGGGCCTAGCTGTCCAGGGCTTTTTATTTTGAGACAGGGTGTCATGCAGTGACTAGGTGGACCAGGCTGTGCACCAACTTGCAGTTCTCCTGCCTCAGCTTTCCTGAGTTCTGGATCACGGCTGAGCTCCTGCTCCGCTGTCAGTTACTGGCAGTCTTTGTTTCAGTCGTTGTATTTTTAGTTCTAGAATTTTTATTCTTTCATTTCTCCACGTCTTCATTAAAAATATAGTTCTCTGCTGCAAATGTCTGTCTCGTATTGTTTCCAAGAACGTAGACAGACAATGCTCTTCAAGTCTGATCAGTGCCAATGTATGGAGACCATATAATTGTGTTTCTGTTTTTTTGATGATTTTTCTGGTTCTTTTTCGTATTGTCTTATCTGGGCCTGGGCCAAGTTTTCGTTGCTTGTATCAGATTTGCATCTGAAAATTGTTTGAAAAAATACTTAAGGCTTAAAATAATTTCTTTTCTTCCAAGTGTTTGTTTTTTCTCCAGGAGCCTGATGGTGTCTTAGTGTCTTCAGTGCTGTGACACAATATCCAGCCCCGAAGCTTAAGAGAGAAGGTATTTATTTTGGCTCACCTTGTAGAAGGTCCAGTCCCTGCATTCTCAGCAGCATGGTGGAAGGGTCTGGAGAGGAAAACCTGCTTGCACCGTGGTGGCCGGAAAACAGAGCAAGAAGGAAACGAGCCAGGGAGAGAGCTGCAGCAGTGCCTCAGTTCACAAACTTTACTTTTTCCGTGATTCTGTTCGAAACTGAATTGAATGAGAACCAAATCAAATTTCTCCCTAAGGTCAACACTGAACCCAAACACTGAGTTTGAGTCGGTTGTCATTCAATTCTGTCTGTGACCAGAACTGTAGGAAGGATTAAGTTCGTGACCCGAGGCACCGCTGTGTCCCCTTCCAGGTCTCCCCCAGGGACCCGCCTCTTCCAGCCAGGTCTCGCCTTCTAACATCACATTTAACTACTGAACACCCAGGACTCAGTCACCTCTTAAAAGCCCCACCAATGAGTGTGTCTGTGGTTTGGGGAGACATCTAGATGGAACCACAACAGAGGACATCAGTGATCTAGAATCACCTTCTCCCCCAGCAAAGTCTGAGGCTTTTTAGGCCACCCAGGTGATTGGAAGTTGTACCACAGCCCATGCGAAGGCTCTTTTACTTCCAATTCACTGTCTAACAGACAGCACTTCGGGGTCCCAACTCATACTATTCTGCTTTTATCAGTGTCAAGTGCCCATTCTGTGCCTTTTGTCCCCTGCCCATGCCAGGCCAGCAGGTGCACCACATGCCACCACCCACTGGTGCGGTCAGAATTCACACCTGCTCCCCAGAGATAAGTGCACAAATGTCAGGCTGGTGTCTCTGGGTTTTCATCTTCCATCGGCTGGTCAGATGGCTGCCTGGTGACTTGTCCTACCACGTCACCTTTCCAGTGCTTTCCAAAGAGGATTAAAAAAAGTTTTGCTCAGCTCTCCTATAGGACGTTTGGTCTGATTTGCCCAGCCTGTTGTTAATGGATACAGAAAACTATTTTTATTTTATCTTTACAAGTTCTCTTAGACTAATCTATTTCCCTACGTATCTTGGTTACTTTTCTCTAGTTGTTGGGACAAAATACTTGACACCCAGAATGAAGGAAGGAAAGGATTATTTAGCTTCCAGTTTGTGGAGGTTTCAATCCATAATCAGTTGGCTCCAAGGCAGGATGGCAGGGCACCAGGGCAATACTTCAAGGCAGCAGCCAGAGCAAAAATGGGAGGACAAGCCTTTTCTCTTCCCTTATATTATACACAGGACACCCCACTCCTGGGCCTATGTAGCACCCACAAAATCTCCTTGCCCCAGATTGCACAGGACCAGAATATTTACGAATTAAGAATCCTGGCTCCCACTAAGTCTGTTAGATAAACTTCTAAACTCAAGTTGACACAATGTGTCAACCATTGTATTCCAGATAGTATAATAAATAAAACCCCAAATTTCCATGGTTCAATTTAGCAAACGTTTAAATTTTTTCTTGTCTTGTAAATTGAGTGTGGCTTGGATTGGGT